ACAAATCACAATCTCCAATGTAGCTCTATACCGTCTGTATTTTTCTTTCTTTGACRTTAAAGTTGACAAGAGATAACATCAGAAATGTTAGACCTGCGTGCATTTTTCTTGTTCAAATCTACATAAGCATCTTTTATTTATTATAGATAATAATGGCAACAAGATTAACTCAATATCAGTTCAAATAATCATCATTTACATTACAGGATAATCTAAACAGATATTAGTGATACCTTTCACGTATCCACTCATGAGGAAAAAACTCATTTTACACTGTATCTATGGGCTGAAATCTTGGATCTGAATTTGATCAAAGCCAGGCATGGCCCTCTCTGTTTTAAATCTCATTGAGTTTAGTTTAATGCAGGCATGAAGCTGAACAGACCGTCAGTTGGCCACACTGCACTGAAAAAACAAAAATGGGTTTAAATGCAGACCAGGCATACGTTAAACTCAATGTATCGCCTGCGCTAAAGTTAGCTGCATTTCTGTGTGTAGTTGCAAACATTGCAAAAAGTGTTTAATTTTTTTATTGCTTCTCAATGCCAGAAAGTTGGAACTGTGACAGCCGAACCAAGCTGTAAAGCATTATTTTATTGTTGTGGTAAGACATTTAAAAATATCCAACAAGTTTTGCACATTTTATTTCTTTTTAAAAACCTGGACCCTATTTTTTAATTCTTTTGCATTTCTTCTAAACGTGGAACCTCACTGTTTTTGATTCAGGGTTTTAGCTAAGTAACAAGACAGATGGATTGAGAAATGGGCTGGAGAAAACAGGATAATATGGTTACCTAGGAACATTTAAAAAGAACATTATCAGAGAGAAATTAAATCAGGAGAGAATAAAAAACTCCACTGAAACCCACCCTTTTTAATATCAGCAAACAAAACAGTTTTTAAATCTGAATAAAGACCATTTTTGGGTACGCTGCAGGTTAATGTAGTATTACTACTGAGGTCTTAATTAACTTATTAACTTTATCCTGCTCCAGTATTAAACCTCTGTCTGTGGCTTACATGAAGGTTGCAGGGTCAGCCAAGAGTTCCCAGCTATTAGCAGTTATTTATTGGCCGGTGCGTCTCTTTTCACTGGGACAGTCCATTTCATCATGAGGGCTATCATCTGAGCGGGCCAGCTGCTGGCGGTACATAATTGTTGCCATAGGAATGGTGTCCAGGGAGACAGCTGTGGCCTTTTAGTAGCAGCCACACAACACACAGAAGGTCATTCCTCACCTGGGGTACCTTTCTTTGGCTGTTCATTTAAGATTGTCTCTAGGTGACCAGTCCAAAGGTTTTAGGAAGGAAGGAAGGAAGGAAGGAAGGAAGGAAGGAAG